GCTCCCCGTTCAATGGCTCATCCTGTTGTTTTGCCCCTATTGTTCTGCCCCATTTGTCAGCTGGGCCGAGGGACAAGGCCGGGGATTGTGCTCAGACAAGGGCTCTTTCTCTCGCTCCCTTGCAAGGAGCCCGCCCCGCCTCCCTGCACTTGTGTCCCAGATTCCCGCCTCCATTCAGCATGCGGCACACCACTGTTCCCACAGCCCCGCGCCAGGGGGGCAAGGAGACAGCCAGGCAGCCCCGGGGCGGGCCGGGCCCTGGGACGAGAGGTCCCCAAGAACAGCCACTTCTGTGGCTGGGTGGTGTGGACACCAGCTTCAGTCCCTGGCTCACGCCTGGGAGCTGGCTGGGTCCCTGGCTCACGCCTGGGCTCTGGCTGGGTCGCTGGATCACGCGTGGGAGCTGGCTGGGTCCCTGAGCTCCCGCCGCTGGCTGAAACAAAGGAAAACCTAAGCCTGCAACCTGCCTCCAAGATTGGGACTTTCAGCCACCCCCAAAGCATCTTCCCTCTATTGCACTGTTATTGGAGATTAAAGCCACGTTTCCACATTTCCCTCTCCCCAAAGCTGCCCCTGCGGTCAGCGCCCTGCCCCCACCCTGGACAGACTCTGCCGAGAGTCAAAAGAGTGTCTGGGCCTCTCACTTCCCAGAGGGGGGTCCCTCCTCTGATGGCCGGTGGGGTAGCCCGGCCGTGTTTTGTGACTAGCCAGCAGGAGAGCTGATTTGAGGCTCCTGGGCTGGCCAGCCAGCCTCCCCGTCACATGCCAAACACAGAAGACAGGAGGGAACGATTCTCTTGTTTCCCTGCTGCACTGGCTGGGCAGGACGGCCTAGGGGCCCTTTCCGAACAGGGAGGCCCCCCTGACTTGCAGCCTGTCGTACTTTTCTGGGTGTCCTGCTGCTCTTCCATGCACCACGTCTCCTGAAAGGCGATTGCTTCTTGCATGTGGCTCAGGCTGCAAGGAGCTCTCCAAAATTCACCTCTTAGCCAATCCCAAACTCTGGGGACGGAGCAGCCTCATGCCTCCAGTCCTTCTCCCAGGCCAGTTCAGGCGTGTTCCTTACAGTGTTGGTTCCAGGCTGCCTCTCACCATCCAGGGGATGGGGCTTCCGCCACCTCCCGCAGGGCTGTAGCCCACTACCTAGTGCCTTGGAGAACTGCATCTGGGGCTTCCAGTCTGTAGTATCCTAAATTCCGTCCCTTTTCCGTCCAGCTCTCCCAGCTGTACCCAAGAGTTTAGGCTGAGATTGTCAGAGGTGAGGTATCCAAATCCCATTCGGGATCAACAGGAACTTGGTGCCTAACTCCTATAGTCCCCTTGACGTACTGACCCTTTGCTAGGAAAAAGGGATAATAGAATCCTAGAACAATAGGACGGGAAGGGACCTCGAGAGTCATCGAGTCCACCCCCTGCCCTCATGGCAGGACCCAGCACTGCCTAGACCATCCCTGACAGGTGTCTGTCCAGCCTGCTCTGAAATATCTCCAGGGATGGGGATTCCACAACCCCCCTGGGCAATTTACTCCAGTGTTTAACCACCCTGACGACATTTTTCCTACTGTCCAACCTAAACCTCCCTTGCTGCAGTTTAAGCCCATTGCTTCTTGTTCTATCCTCAGAGGCCAAGGAGAACAACTTTTTCCCTCCTCCTTGTAACACCCTTCTAGGTACTTGAAAGCTGCTTGCGTCCCCCCTCAGTCTTCTTTTCTGAACTAAACAAGCCCAGTTCTTTCCATGGTCCCTCATAGCTCGTGTTCTCTGGACCTATAGAGGGACAGAGCGCAGCGAGGGATGGCCGGCAGTGTCTCTGCTTAGGAGAGATGTTACTGGCTGTTAGTGAGGTGGATCAGACTGTGGCCTGCTTGTCTCCTTACTCTCCCAATTTCCCGGCTGGGTGGGCTAAGCCACTTAGGCACCATGGTGGAGGCTGAGTTGAATCAGTGAATGCAGGATCAGGCCCACGGTCAGTGGCTCCCTGTCCTTCACAGTAGCCATTGGAGAGGACGTGGAAATAGGCACTCGGGCCGCTCGGCTGGGGCAGGGGAGAACTTTCGTGGAGTCTGACGTGGACAGGCAGATGGCACGTTTCCCAATGGATCCCCTTCCATCGTGCGCGCACCCCCAGACCTGCTGCAGAGTCCCCTGCCAGCCTTAAGTCACACACAGAGGAGACCCGGGCTCCTGTCCATGTAACTGTACAGGCCCTATGCAGCCACCAGCACGTGCTGCCGCCCGACGTGTCGGTTCCAGCCCTCTGGTAACCGAATAGTCCGCCCATTGTTCCTGTTTGTCCCCTGCCCCTGCAGAGTGCAGCGGAGAATACACAGGCTGGCAAGGGAAGAACAAAGCCCCCACTGTCCTCAGTGCCATGAAGAGATCAGTACAGGCTGTAACCTTGCACTGGAGGGGAGGGGAGTACAGGGCTGCCTGTGACCCAGTGGCTCTTATGGGCCATTCTTCAGGCAACCAGAAAACCATTGTAGGGCTGAGCAGGGAGGGAAGTGGGCGTTGGAAAATTCCCCGCTGCACATTCATGGTAGGGAGGCGGCCGAGAGCAGTGGGTGTTGTCTGGACGAATCTTCTTCTTTATTAAAACCCATCAGGCTTGTGTGTGTTCACCCCAGACCCAGCTGCAGCAGGGGCGGGAGCTGTGTCAAAACTGCCTGCACTCTGAGAAAGCTCCAGCCATGTTCACGGGGAGGAGCTCTCACCGAAAGAGCAGGGGAAGCGAGGAGGCAGGGAACCAGGTCGCTGCTTCCGGCACGTGTGATTTTGCCAGGAAGCAGGTCGTTTCAGCTGGGGTTGGAGTTTGTCTCGGGTTTACTGGTTGTTTTCACTGTTAGAGGCAGGTGCAAACAGGAACTCCGGAATCAAACACCTGCCCAGATTCCGAACCAAATGTGTAGGGGGCCTTCATCTGTTGATGGGGCAAAACCAAACCTCAGCCTGCCACGCCTGAATTTTCCACTGGTGAGAACTCAGGCCCGGACTCCATCTTGTACCTGAGCCAGTTTAAACCTGTAGATTAAGGGCCTGGATGTCAGAAGAGCGCCGCACCTTCAGCTGAAGCCACTGAGAGCTGCAGGCAGGTGGCCCTTCTGAAAACCAAGCCCCCAAGTCTAGTCCTCCCACTTGCTAGCTGTTTGTACACACCACTGCAGAGCAGCTGTTCTCCGGAGGGTGGGGGTTAGGGGAGTGTCTAGACTGCAGGGTGTTTTTGGAAAAACAGCTGTTTTTCCAAAAAATCTTCACCTAAGTCCACGCTGCTATTGCGTTCTTTTGAAAGAAAAATCAAAAGGACGCAGAAGTTTTGCCCACATCGGTAAACCTCATTCTACGAGGAAGAAGCCTTTTCTGAAAGAGGTTTTTCGGAAATGACCTGGAGGAGGGGATGGATTGCACCCTCAGCAAGTTTGCAGATGACACTAAGCTGGGGGAGAGGTAGATACACGCTGGAGGGCAGGGATAGGGTCCAGAGTGACCTGGACAGATTAGAGAATTGGGCCAAAAGAAATCTGATGAGTTTCAACAAGGAAAAGTGTAGAGTCCTGCACTTGGGATGGAAGAATCCCAAGCATAGTTGCAGGCTGAGGACCGACTGGCTAAGTAGCAGTTCTGCAGAAAAGGATCTAGGGATTACAGTGGATGAGAAGCTGGATATGAGTCAACAGTGTGCCCTTGTAGCCAAGAAGGCTAATGGCATATTAGGATGCATTAGGAGGAGCATTGCCAGCAGATCCAGAGAAGTGATTATTCCCCTTTATTCGGCTCTGGTGAGGCCACATCTGGAATATTATGTCCAATTCTGGCCCCCCACTATAGAAAGGATGTGGACGCATTGGAGAGGGTCCAGCGGAGGGCAACCAAAATGAGTAGGGGGCCGGAGCACATGGCCTATGAGGAGAGACTGAGGGATTTGGGTTTGTTTAGTCTGCAGAAAAGAAGAGAGAGGGGGGATTTGATGGCAGCCTTCAACTTCCTGAAGGGAGGTTCTAAAGAGGATGGCGAGAGGCTGTTCTCAGTGGTGACTGATGACAGAACAAGGAGCAATGGTCTCAAGTTACAGTGGGGGAGGTCTAGGTTGGATATTAGGAAAAACTATTTCCCTAGGCGGGTGGGGAAGCACTGGGATGGGTTCCCTAGGGAGGGGCTGGAATCTCCATCCCTAGAGGTTTTTAAGTCTCAGCTTGACAAAGCCCTGGCTGGGTTGATTTAGTTGGGACTGGTCCTGCCTTGGGCAGGGGGCTGGACTTGACGACCTCCTGAGGTCTCTTCCAACCCGAGGATTCTATGAAA